ACTGAGGAAATCACCCCATTGCGTCACTAGACAAGCCCTCACTCTGATTACCTCCAGGCCGAAGAAGTAGAGGAAGACGAAAGAACACATTACACCGATAATAGGAATCTAACATGAAATGAACAGGAATTGGATAGAACTGGAAAGAAATTCCGAGGACAATGTAGGTTGGCGGTCTATACTCCACGAGAAGTAACAGGTTTAAGTAAGTGTGTAGGTAATGTATCTGAAGGTAGACGAGATGAAAACTTATAAACTGTTCATCTAGAGTAGCTGGAACTTTTTATGCCAGATTGTACAATTTTCTAGTAATGATGATTAATGTAGAGTCTTCCTGCAGAATTGTACATTGAAAATAACATGGTCAGCATATGTAATAAATGGTATAGCTATTCTTTTAAAAATCATGAACAGAAAATGTTTAATCTATTATCTATCACATAACTAGCAGTAATCAACATCCATAAACAGGCTAACAAAGGAAAAAAAACATTATATTTTTCCGTGAATTATTTCATCTCTCTGACCTTAACCGGCAGAGAGTTCTTATTAATGGACAAATTATTGAACGTTGAATAGAAAAAAAAGTGTTTGCGTATTTTTGATAATTTACGCTACACACACACACTGTGCACTCTCTCCCTCACATACACACTCACACGCACCCTATAAATATTAGTAAACACAAACTGTCTACACTCTGACCTGTCACCACTTGTAACATTGAAAGCTGAACAATCTCTAACGTCTTGCATCAACATGCATAAAACTTCATTTAATTACGTAATTAAAGGCACACATGTAGACATGTGTGCAGTGCAATTGTAAATGTGTTTCTTATTTTAGTATATATGTACATATATATTTTTTATTTCATCGTCAGTATCCTCTTTGATCTTAGTCGCTTTAAATAGACACATCATCGTTTAATGAAGGAATCATGTTGCTTTGAAAATGCTTTCCATCGGTGTTGTAATCAATGGTATTTCTCAATCATTAGAAAAAAATAATGTTCTAATGTACTGACAGTGTACTGACGACGAACGAGTATGTTACATCAACACCGATTCACATAGAAAAAATTAAACAACACTGATGTAATCAAAGTATAAACAGAGAGTAAAGTGTAACAATTACAGCAATTATAATGTGTTGTACATTGATCCGCAAATTTATTTTATTTACATTTGTTTAAATTGTTATGCGAAAAAAAACAATAATAATAAAAATTTTCGTTTGAAAAATGCCGCTTAACTTTTTCTTTTCTCGTTATAATAATAATAATAGCACACTTGCCCGTACGTACAGTTAGTGTGTATAAAAAGTGTGAATGTGTGTAGCGCGGTGTTTGTTGTTGTTGTTGAGATGAACACAATACGTATACACCACATTTACAGACATGTTGTATACGCGCCACATGGAACATTGAATATTGAACCCGCCTAAAACAAAACAAAAAAAAGAAAAATTAACACAAAATTAAAAGAAAAGCATTGCAAAAAAAAGCGGGTTCGATAAAAATGTTAACCACAGCAGGATAGAAAAGCGGAACTATGCAGATTATTTTTTGTGTGTGTAACTTATAAACACACACGCACGCACACATCATAAACTGTACAACATTATGCACTTGTATTTGTGAATTACGATTTTCTTTTTCCTATAAAGAAGTCATGTTTATGAAAAATTATTTCCACATAATTTGTGTTATCTAACCAAACTAACTAACCAACTAACTGACGAACTGACTAACTACCTGTTAAACGTAACAAACTTACACATCAAAGGAAAAATTTTATGACTATTTTTATTTTTATGCTTATTTAAAAATAAATAAATGATTTATTTTCAATATAATAATTTTGAAAAATTTATATATGATGAATTTGCATTTGAAATCAGTAAAATCATGATGGTAAGTAGGTGTATTGATAGATAAATGTTTTACTATTTTTAAAAAATTTAATTTTTGAACATTGACGAGAACAATTTTAATGGTAAACAGAAATAATTACTTACTTATTTTCGCTTGTTACCGCCAATGGAGCATGGGCCTACGACCAGTATTCTCCAACACTTCTCTGTCCTGAGCCTTCCATTCCAGTTCTGTTCAATTTTTGTCCATTCTTCCCATGTTTGTCTTAATTTCTTGGCCGAATGTGCTCCTTGGCCTTCCGATTTTTCCTTTTACCTGGATGGTTCCAGGTGACGGATCGCCTTGTGATGCTGTTTGGTGCTTTCCACAATGTGTGTCCTATCCACTTCCACCGCTTCTTCCTGATTTCCTCCTCCACTGGAATCTGGTTTGTTCTTTCACTCAGTAAGCTGCCGTCGATGGTGTCTGGCCAACGGTTCCTCAGTATTTTGCGTAGACAACTGTTATTAAACACTTGCATCTTGTGGATAATCGCTCTGGAAGTTCTCCAAATTTCCACTTCATACAGTAAACTTCGAGAACTACCAAAGCTATCATCAAGAGGATACAAGTATTTATTAACAGAAATACTCTTCATCGAACTAAGTATGACCACCTCTCTATTTCTATATTCAACATTGTTTAAATGATGAATGCCTTAGTGAATGAGCGATCTAGACTGAAATTTTTTTTTCTAACAAAACCAGCGTAATCATTTTAAGATGACTTGAGGTATTTATCGATCCATTGCATATAGTTTTTATGGTGGTAATTTTTGTCTGATTTTCAGTAGACTGGGATGTGATCCCATTTAGGAGGAATAAATTGATTATGCTAATGAAATAAGTGTTTCTTCTTATTTACTTACTAATACCTGTTACCCCTAATGGAGCACAGACCACCAACCATCATTCTCCAAAGTACTCTGTCCTGGGCCTTCCTTCCCACCTTTATTCAACTGACACTCATTCTTATCAAAGTTTGTTTCCAATTTACGGTTTAATGTGTTTTTCTGGTCTTCTATTTTTCATTTGGCCTTAAGGATTTCGAATGAGGGCTTGTTATGTGACGCAGTTAGGTGATTTTCTCAATATGTATCTTATTCAACTGTAGTGCTTCTTCCTAATTTCTTTCTCAGCTGAAATCTGGTTTTTTCTCTCCCACAATAGGTTGTTGTTGATGCTGACTAGCGGATCCGAAGTAGTTCACGTAGGCAACTGTTATTATACACACTTGCATCAACTGAAAATCATTCATCTAATTTCCACATCGTATTATTAGGCTAACTCCGTTTATGTGACGATAGTAACGAAAAGCTCAGTACGGTTTCATGTGGATCAAACTATTTCATATATATTATTATTGGAACAAACTTAATAATGAGAAAAATCAAAGGTTAGTGGGTCAATTCCGTTTGACAAAGCATGAATCTTTATTTGTAGCCAGACAATAATGAGCGAAAGACATGTGATGAATAATGAACGTTATATACACACACACGTACACTCAAATAAAGACAATCAAGCTTATAAGAGAGTCATTAACACAGTCGAACTAGGTGTGAGTAACGACTACAGAAGAATAGCTTAATTGGAACATGGGTAGCCACAAGCGACATCCAGGTCAGAGAACGACACACTATCACAAATAATTTATGCGTAGATGGATCAGCCGCATCTTGAAAATACCACATTAGTTTGATAAAAAACATTTCTGATGAGCTTACGTGAACAATAAAGCAATAAATACCTAATGTTTACATCACTGCATATTTTGTCCGCCGAGTTGCGAGCACATGATGACAATGAGTCATTTAGTAACTACTTATCATATTTAGTAGTATATTTATTTTTAAACAATTTTAGTCGACTTGGTCTGTCAATGTGATCTTGTCTACAGAAAGTATTAATTACTCAAATAATTGAAACTTTTAGTCAAATTTTTCTGAACATAAAATTTTCAATAACATTCTGACTGGATAGAGCTTATATTAACCTTCAGACGCCCTGATACGGTCGAAAGTGGAGAGTCTGCCCTCTCATAACATCACTCGTGTATAGCCACTATTAAGGAAGTCTTAGTCATTGTCTTCTCATGGGACAAATGTTGTTTACGAAGTTCAGAGGACAAAAATTGAAAGTCTGTTTAAGGCTTAGATCGATTTGGTTGGTATGAAGGATCTGGAAACCAGAGAATACTAGAAAGCACTTTTATTCTTGTACAAACTCTGTAGAACTGCGCATAGGCGTGCACATCAAGGATGGAACCAATCGTACCTCTGAGTTGATAGCCAATGCTTTGTATAACTAAATTTGATTGTTTTGCAATATTCAGTGACCATCGTTCACTGTCACTTATGAATTTACCTTACATCCTACATATGTGATCTACCAAATCTCCTAAAATTACGTCTACAAGTAAGCTATAAGTAAGTATAATATGTTATTGAGACTGTCGTGTTTTTTAATCCCCACCTCCGGCTCATCGTAGTCAGACAACAGTTGAGATTTTAATGAGATCATGGTTTTTCAGTCAAAAATAATCATAAACATACTCTATCCTGGGCTTTCCTTTCTAGTTCAGTCCAATTTTTGTTCATTCTTATCATATCTATCTCCCTTTCTCAGCTTAATGTATTCTTTGGCCTTCCTATTTTCTGTTGGCTTTGAGAATTCCAGGTGACGGCTTATCCTGTGCTTTCTTCAATCTGTATCCTATCCACTCCCAGAACTTCTTCTTGATTTCCTCCTCCACTAGAATCTACTTTATTCTCTTCCACAATGAGTTGTTGCTAATAGTCTGTGGTCAGTGAATCGGAAGTATACTTTGCGTAAACAACTGTTCCTGAATACTTATATCTTATAGATGGATGATTGCTTCGATTTTTCTTCAAAATTTCCACCCCCTACAATACATTTTCTATAGAAAATTCTGATTTCTCTATTGATTGGTAGTCATTTTTTAGTTTAAACATCCTACAGTGCATTGACTATTCTACTTTATACTCTTGTTCTTTCTTTTCTCTCTCTGTTTTAGATGTTTGAAACAATCACTGATTATTTATGTTGAATAAAAACAATTGTAAATGTTAAAAAAAGCTATTGATTCAATGTTAATTTTATTACGATTCGATGAAAGAAAAGATGATAATTGGTTATGGAATCCAACCGTGGTAGATACTACTTATCCTGTTTTAAGTACTACTACTACTACTACTTCTACAACAGGTCAAAAACAATGTGATAATCATGCTAATAATAATAATAGTAATACAGTCAACTGTACAACACCATTATTATCCACAGATTGTCAAGAATTATTATCATTAGCCGGAAATAATAATTCTAATAATCATGTTAAAATTAATCGTGCAAAATCAATACCGAATCGTCATTTCATGCATCATTGTTCAAGTGTCAATTATCACAAACAATCAAAACGAATTAATTCTAACAATAACACTGGTAAATGTAATAATAATCATGAAAGAAAAACCAATCGAAAACATCAATTTCATCATGTACGTTTGCATAGTTATGATGAAAGTATGAAAAATTCTCAAAATGATTACTCATATTATGAAGATGGTGAATTTGGTACAGATGTGACTTATTTACCATTGAGTGAATTCAATCATTCTATTGATCGATTGAATAAGTTAACTAAAACAACAATCAATAATCATGAGAATAGTAATAATACGCAAACTAGTAAATTGACTATTGTAGATGAACAAACTAAAAATGATAAGTTTAACACGCCATCTTTACCGCCATTGTTACATTCATTGTCACAAATAGTACCGCAAAAATTAAAACCTCCACCAAAAGTACATTTATCATTGTCAATACCAACAGTTACATTAGAACAATTAATCAATGTGAATTCAATTACAACTAGTAATTCTACTATGGTATTTAAAAATGTCGATCAAATTGAACAAAATAAAATGGATGACTTCCGTTTTTTAGTTAATTTTAATAAAACAATACATTGTGAAGAATTCATCAATCAATCATCATCATCATTTCAACATTCTTCTCATCCTTATTATAGGCAACAAGAATTATGTGTAACAACACAACATAATTTTGAAAATAATCTTATTTTATTTCCTAATATGAAAATAACAGAAAATATTGATAGTAATAATAATAATAATAATAATAATAATAAAATAACTAAAGATTGTTTAACTGATTTTGTAAGATCTAATCAAGTAAGTAACATTTTAAACAATTTTTTATTGAAATGAAATTCAAATGTTGTTGTATTTTTTTAGTTAATAGTTTAAAAAATACAATTCTCAATTTATTTCTGAGATTTTTTGTTTCGTTCAAGTTGGACGAAATCTAGGGGCGGCCAAACCAAAATATGGCACAAATCCATGAAGTCATTGACAAATGGACTGAGTCATGTCGGTAGGTATCGACTACCTGGTTGGGGTCCACGAGATATTAGTAATCGATGGTTAGAGACGCTGAATGACATGGCTCAAAACCGTTTGCAATGGCGCCGGTGCATTCATTCTTTGTGTTCTGTCAAACCCGAAACGTTTTAATTCTTCATCACTTTATCTTTTTAAGTCTATTTCACTAGATTCTACTTCTTGAATAATATCTTCTAATCCTAATCTCTCCGATTACTGCTAATACCTTTACTACCTCTATTACTATTGTATTTGAATTGACAATTACATCCCTGTGCTAATGTGGTATGGCAACATGAACTGATGTACGTACGTACGAAGTTTTACATTGCTACTGATTGATTGAGTTTCATTGAAGTCATGAATCAACCAATGTTAGACTACCATTAGAAACTTGGAAGCACTGGACGGCCATTTTGTCATAGTATAGGACAGGCCCTGCAACAGTTCGCATTCACGACTCCCGCAAACGGGAATCAGACCTGGGGATCTGAACGCTTAACCTCTAAACCACTGAGCTGGCATCTAATAGTTTTAATGTCTAACTGCTGATGGGTCAGTCTCATTTTAAGGCGAAATGGTCACCCAATGCTTCCTGGTTTCTAATATTGGTCTGACATTGATTGATTCATGATTTCAGTGAAACAATATGGTAACCAGTTCATCACTTAATGAAAGACAATACATATTCACGTATATTTTTTATGTGAATATTGATACACTTAATCGATTTCAAAATATCTTCTTAATGTGTTTGCTTTTTTTCAACGTCAGTTTAAACAAAATAGTAAAAGAGAATACATTGAACAGATAGTTAATGTGTGTGAATCGTATTACATATAGAGATATGTAACAATCTACTGTAAATTGATATCATTCTTTTGGTTTCTATATCAAATTTACAAAAATTAAATCTCGTTATTGAATTGAATATTTTGTGTAGTTTAATGTGGAAAATTTGAATTAGTTGTAATAACCACAGCAAAATTATACAAGATATGAATTGTTGTATAGGATCATGGAGATTGTTGAGTTTCACTGAAATCATGAAATGATCAATGTTAGATCACTATTGAAAACTTGGAAATGGGATAGTATGGGATTCATTAGCAGTGTGCATCCTCAACACTCAAATATGAGAATTTAACTCAGGACCTTCGATCTTGCTAGCAAACATTTAGTCTATCAACCACTGAGCCAGTATTCAGCGGTATTGCGTGGCCTCATCTATTGCCTTCGGTGGATAGCTACCTCACACCTGACACAGTTAAACTCCACCGGTCAAGGATTCTCACCAGAACTTAGAGAAATTCTTCACGAAACTAGTCAACAGTATGGATATGATAATTTTCACTATGTGGTTGTGACAGTATCATGGACTGATTGAAGTTAGATGCCTAGTTAGTGGTTCAGAGGTTAGGTGCTCACATGTGGGGCTGAGGTTATTGGGTTCAATTCCCACTTGCAGGGTTATGGATGCGCTATCCTGATGAGTCCCATACTTGGCAAAGTTTGAACTTCAGTTGTCACAGCTTATCACTAGACTTCCAGGAGTTACATTTTGAAGCTAGTCACTAATAAGTACAAGATTGCTTTCAGTATAAGGGATTTTTGGAGATTGTGGTATGTTTATACGTAATATACCTTTGCAGTTTGGTATGTACTGAGATGGTTCCCAACTCACAATCGTAATTCAATACAAGATTATAGATAAACTATACGCTTCGATCAGTCAGCTGACAAACTCGTTCAAGATCAAGACCGGTATCAGGCAAGGTTGCTTACTCTCTCCTGATGATCGACTGGATTATGAAGACGTCAACATCTGGACAGCTAGGATACAGCTTGAGGATTTGAACTTCACAGATGATCTAGCCCTTATATCCTACACGCAACAACAAATGCATGGAAAAACTACCAGTGTATCCTCAGTCTCTGTATCAGTAGGTCGGAGAAGCTTTGTAAGAGGGGGAAACCTCTACATACTTGGGTAGCATCACTGACGAGCAAGGTGGATCTGATGCAGATATGAAGGTGCGAATCGTGAAAGCAGGGGCAGCATTTTTACAACATAAGAACATCTGGAACTCAAAACAGCTATCAACCAACACCAAAGTCTCAATTTTCAATACAAATGTTAACACAGTTCTACTACATGAAGCAGAAGCTTGTCGAACTCTCAAAGCCAGACACCGTCAGCAACAATCTACTGTGGGAGAGAACGAACCAGATTCCAGTGGAGGAGGAAATGAGGAAGAAGTGTTACAAGACTAGCCCTCACCTGGAATCCTCAATACCAAAAGAAAATAGGAAGGCCAAAGAAAACATGAAGCCGAGAAATAGAGAAAGACTTGAGAAGAATGAACAACAATTGAACAGAACTAGAAATGAACGCCGCGGACAGAATAGTTCAGAGAATGGTGGTCGGCTGCCTATCCTCCATTGCGGGTAACAGGTGTAAGTTAGAATAGAAGCAAACACTCAAATTATAACTATTTAGTGGTTTTTCGCTTATGATAAGAAACTCAAATGAATTAATCACTCTCATTCATATACTACTAATACTACATACTCTTTGTTAATTTATACTTTACAGTGTCAAAAAATGACATATTTCACTCCAGTCACTGGTATTTCCAGTAATGGAGATGCAATGCAAAACAATACCACACTAAAGACTTTTACCACTACCACACCTACTACTACTACTACTACTCCTAATACTACTGCGATTAGTACTACTACTACTACTACCACCAATACTACTACTACTAATACTACTACTATTACTACAAATAAGTTGTCTAATCATGACGCAACTAGCAATTCATTCATAAATCATCATTATTCATCTCATAAACCATTATCACCAAATATCCACTTTAATACAAGTCGTTCAAATAGTGGTCATACATTGATTGATCAAAGCATTGAACAAAATTATCCACAATCCCGTATGCATCGATTGAAAAAATCCACTAAAAAAAAACGACGAATCAATAATTCTGCATTACAACAACATTCAATGGCTGCATCATTTTCATCGTCTAGTTCATGTTTTATGAATTCAACAATCAATGATTGGTCAAAATGTCAATATCAAAAACATTGGTCATTTACATTTTATGATTTTGAAAATGAACAACATTCAAAAGAGGTTGGTTAGTCAATAAATAATCAGAATGTTTTATTAAATTTATATAATTTTTTTAAACATTTGAAATAATCAATCAATCAATCATTGTTAGACCACCATTAAGAGAAATCTGGAAGCACTGGACGGCCGTTTCGTCCTGGTATGGGACTACCCATCAGTGGCAGTGCGCATCCATGACTCCTGCACCTCGCAGGATTCGAACTCGGGTGCCTCGGTATCGTGTGTGAACGCCTTACCATAGGACCACTGGGCCGGCAAACAATGGTGTTAATGTCTAACTCTGATTGATCTAGGGATTTTGAGCGACCTCACCCATTTATCCTTTGGTAGTTACTGCCTACACCCGACAGGGTTGAACTCCATTGGTCACGTCTTCTCATACTATAGAATAACTCACTAACTTTGTAATAAGTATTCCACATTTATTCCTAATACCGCCAAATTGTGGCTATTTATTTCTGCGGAAATTTGAAGGGTTCTTCCGATCTTTCACAATGTACGGACGGATATTCCATGCAGCTATTATTAGCGGTTGCGCTGGTTTTCGGAAGGAGCATTGGTTTTGTGACTTCCGAATTGAACTCAGAATTCATCATGAGGAATCATAACTCCTCTAAAAGAAGATTTTGTATCTCCCCATGGCAGAGTTTAAATGGTTTGAATTATTTTTCCTGGTTGGCGTTTTTTTAATGAGTTGGTTTTCTACAGAATGAGGTCGCTAGCCCCATGGTTAACCATCTTCTTTTATCCGGGCGTGGTACCGGTACTAACCTCAGACAAGCGCCAGGCAGAAAATAGTGGACAGTTCGGATGAAGCTGGACGATCTAGACTTTACAGATGATCTAACTTTCCTACTCCACATGCAGCAACGACCGGTGTATCCGCAGCCTCAGAAGCAGTAGATCACAACATACACAAAGGGAAAACTAAGATTCTCCGATGCAACACACCATGCACCAACTAAATCACACTTGGCGGAGAAGCTTTGGAAAATGTACAAATCTTTAAATATCTAGGCAGCATTATTGATATGCAAGGTGGATCTGGCGCAGATTTAAAGACATGGATTGATAAAACAAGGGCAGCATTCCTTCTAAGTGAAGAACGTCCGAAACTCAAAACAATTATCAATCAAAACTAACGTTATAATTTCCAATACAAATGTCAAAACAGTTCTACTGTATGGAGCAGAAACTTGGAGAACTACCAAATCTATCATCCAGACGATATAAGTATTTATGAACAGTTGCCCACGCAAAATACTTCGGATTCGTTGACCAAACACCATCAGCAACAACTTACTATGGGAGAAAACAAATCAGATTCCAGTGGAGGAAGAAATCAGGAAGAAGAGTTGGAAGTGGATAAGACACACTTTGAAGAAATCACCCAGCTGCCTTACAAGGCAATCCATCATTTGGAATCCTCAAGGCCAACGGAAAAGAGGAAGACCAAAGAACAGATTATGCCTAGAAACGGAGACAGACATGATAAGAATGAACAGCGATTGGGTGGGACTAGAAAGGAAGGTCCAAGACAGAGTAGGTTGTAGAATGCTTCTCGATTAACAGGCATAAATAAGTAAGTAAGTACCTTAATAACAAATATGTCTCATAGATGAATAAATGAAGTGAATACATGTTTCATTGATCAATTAATATTTCATTTAAGATATTGTTAGGGATGTTAGATCCCCAGAACTCGCTTGATAAATGCCTTAATTTGGATTTCACGTTTGCGAGCATGGGCCGATCGGTTGACCTTGAGATTTCATTTCCCACCAAGAAAATCTTTGGCTGTGACTGGCTGCTATGTATTTCAGTGTGCTATTTTTATGATTGTCTCAAGGACGTTTATATGATGTATAAATAAACGAGAGTTGTGTACTTGATTGTATCGTGCTTGTTGGGTGTTTGTAGAATATACATTCTACGCTTACCAAGTCTTCTGTTTAGCAGTTTGGGATTCAAGATAGCCTACCTGGACGCTGGTTCATTGTCTCATTCGCGTTTGTCGACTAAGGTAAATCCGTAATAACTCCAAGCGTACCTAGTGATGAACCTAACAGATATATAGTTATAAAATTCTTCAAAATAGTATTTCATTTTATCTGAGGTTTATTAATTAGCTAAATTGTTTACGTCTGACATTTGAAGCTGACATTTTTTAAATTATTATTATTATTATTATCATTATTATTATTATCAATTTTATAACTGCTTACAATAATTTTTTTGTACAGTGTAATAAATTTCTCTTTTTTTTGTATGGGATAAATTTGCTAGATTTGATTGATCAATTTCTATGTGTCTATGAATTATGAAAGGAAATTATTCAAGAATTTGTTCAAAAATCCCTACACAGACACACATACACATGAACATAGTTTGACTAATTCTGTATAGTGTAAACTTTACAAACATGTAAATCCGTTTAAGGAGAAAAATTCACTAGCTAATATAATCATTCCGATATTGAATGAAAAAGTTCTGCATAGAATAAAAGTAACTATCTTTTTCCAATTCAAATCAATCGGTTAGATTATAGACTTACTAAAGATTGTAGAGTAGAGAGTAATAAGTCAGTCAGTACATTATGAAAATATTCCATATTTTACTTACTTACTTATTTGCTATACCTGTTACCACCAATAGACCGCTGACTAGCATTCGCCAACCTGCTCTGTCCTGGGACTTCCATCCTAGTTCTGTCCAATAGTTGTTCATTCTTCCCATGTCTGTCTCTATTTCTTGATGTATTATGTTCTTTGGCCTTGGGAATTTCAGGTGATGGCTTGTCTTGTAACGCAGTCGGGTGATTTCTTCAGCGTGTGTCGTATCCACCTCCAGCACTTCTTCCTGATTTCTTACCCAACTGGAATCTGGTTTGTACTGCCCCGCAGTAGGTTGCTGCTGATAATGTCTAGTTAACGGATCCAGAGTACTTTTTGTAGGCAACTGTTAATAAACACTTGCATCTTGTGGATGATTGCTTTTATGGTACTTCATCTTTCTGATTCCTACAATAGAACTATCTTTACATTTGTATTGAAAATTGTGACTTTGGTATTGATTGGTAATTGTTTTGAGTTCCAGATATTGTTCAGTTATAGAAATTTTTCCTTTGCTTTTTCAATCCGCACCTTCGCATATGCATCAGATCCGCGTTGCTCGTCAATAATGCTGCGTAGATATGTCAAGATCCTCACATCCTCTAAGCTATCTTCATCAAGTGTAATTTGGCTGGTGTATGTTGTGCTGTATCGGAGAATATTGCTTTTCCCTTTGTATATGTCGAGACCTATCACTGCTTTGGCTTTTGCTACACTGGTTACCCTCATCTACATTTTTATTGCGTATGGGATAGAAGAGGCAGATCTTCTGAGACTTCCAGATCTTCCAGCTGTATCCTGTCTGTTCAGTTTATTCCGTGCTTCCCACCCTATATTTTAGTGATATAGATTTAATATTAGCTATTCAGAAGTCTGTAGAACACTGTGTTTCACTCGTACTTCGTTCTTATAGTTGACACATCGACAATTCATATTTTAGTATGAATTTAATAAATTTGGCTAGAGAAAATTACTAGGTTTTTATCTACGAATGATATAATTACAATTTACGACATGAAAAATGAGTGCCTTGTTGAGGCTATCAAATGAACTACTGTATATAGCTTCCAAAATAAAACGTAAACCTATTCAACCGCTGCATTTAAGTGATTGCTAAGTAACTGTTCTTTAAAAGATTCATCAGAGTTTGAAGGCTTATTATCATTTATCTTTTCATGAATAAGTTTTCACATTAGCATGATTAAACATCTATATTTAAAGTTGAACTACTTATTTGGTTATTCAGTAACTAATCGAATTGTACGAAATATATTAAAGTATTTCACTGATTTCCTTCAAATTAGGATGATACTGCATTAGTACATTCAGTTTTTGCTGTTGTAGCAGCTCGACTACAACGACAAAAACACAATGGTTCAAAAAGTATGATTAAAAAAGTATCAGAATATGAAAAATTATATCAAGGTCATGAAAATAATGATGTTAATAGAAATAATCATGTAAGGCGGCAGTCAAATTCACATCAGACCAGTAAACAAATACATCAACATATTCGACTGGCTAATTATATCGCGGAAGATTTTCCCAAACAAACTTTAAATAATGAGAGCAACAATAATGATGAACAACATTTATGGCGATTATGTATTAAATGGAATCCAAAAGATTTACCAAATAAGTCAACACTTTGTCCGAATACACAAGAGAAAAATGAAAATACCACTGAAAATCTTCCTCAAATTAAATTAAAAAAGACACATATCCTTGCTACTTTAGGTGCTGAAATTGATAAAACCTCTTTATGGAGTAATAATTCTACGCTATCGTTAATATCATTGGATATTCATGGCTTAGATCGTAATGAGAAGAAACGACCGAAACGATTGAAACATCGAAAACACTCACAAAAACATCACAAAAATGCATCTAATCAGAATGTATTGATTTGTTCTGTTTGTAAACGTTTAGTCAATACAAATCCTAATGAACAAGTTTTACAGCAACAAATGAATGCGAATAATGCCTTATCAATCATTGATCAGACATCTTTGAATCAATTTGCATTTAATCGAAGTCATTCAATTAGATTTAAAGAAAAATTCCCACCTAATAAGAATTCAGAAATGCATGATTATTCACAACAGAATGCTGGTTTAACAAAACTAAATAATGATGATGAAATGAAATATAAACGTAATAGTTGTCATATTTTACCGAAAACATTTCAATGTCCAATACAAAATTGTGATCACAATATGAAAAATTTAGAAGAATGTAAAAATCCATGTAGTAATCATCAGAATAATCTGTACAGTAAAACACAATGTGATCATGTACTAGGTAATGACTGTTGTCAAAAACAAATTTCTGAAAATATTCATCATGATCAATGTGAATATCAATCAAAACTAATCATGAATTCATTGAATCAAACAACTACGAATCAAGTGTTAAATTGTCAATATTGTTTGTTTAAATCGATGAAAGGATACACGAAAGAAAGTCACTTGAACGGATTTAATCATGATAATAATAGTAATGATAAAATATTAAATTCACAAATAAAAAGTAATTATATCAATGACAATTCAACTTTACCAACGTTTTGTTGTAATCAATGTCAAAAATGGTTTATCCCTCCGACATGCAATCAATTTCATTGTTCAAGAAGTAAACGAACAATTTCAAAAGAGACTAATTTGGCGTAAGTAAATCTTTTTCTCAATACAGTTATGGAGATTATTGTTTTAACACATTGGAAATCTGGAAGCACTGGACATGCGTTTCGTTCTGGTATAGAACTCATCAGCAGTGCGCATCCATGAGTCCTATACCAGGACGAAAAGCATGTCCAGTGCTTGCAGGTTTCTAATGGTGCTCTAACAATGATTGATTGATTTCAAATATGTCAGTAAATCTGTTTACTTTCGATAAAAGTATCATTAATTGGAGGATGTATTTATACATAGATTAAGCTACACATACTTTGTTCCATGATATTCAAGCGATGTGGATCTGTGATAGTTGTGAAACATTCGTTATTTTTAAAAAATATGTAGTGATTTCACTTTTACGAAAAAATAACACGATTGGCAACATTCATTATCATAATCAATTGTACCAGTGAACGTTTTATCGAATATTTGTTTATTCATACTTTTGATTTACTCAATGACCTTGGCAATTTTTTGTATATATATATATTGACATTACACTATGGTCACGCGCTTCGCCTCTTTCCGGTCACCATCTTGCTTTAGTTGCTATGTACCTTCGCTTATTCTTTGGCACGTGTCAGTATTTCTTCGATACCACGATATCACCAGCAAAATACACATCTGGTCTATCCCATTTTCTTCTTTCCGATAAAAAATGTGGGATAATATTTGGTGTCTAGACATGTTCGACTCGAACATTTGTTAGGATAAACTTTTAGTGGCTCACGACCCGATTTCAATGTGGACGAATGATCGAGTGAGCAGTGAAATAAATCTTCCTTTCCACTTCCGTATATTATTATACTAAGGCTAACCCCGTTTGTGCGACGGCGCTAGTAAGAAGCCAAATACGGTGTTGCGGATGAATTTATTTCATGCGTGTTCATTTATGCAGACAAACATGAGAATGGGAAGTGCACGAGCAAAACGAAGTGAATTTGAGAAGGTGAGTGAGCCAACTGTTCATGAGCTGAAGAATGGCTAAGTATTTATAGTCAAGCAATAATAATAGGCTAGACATGTGATAAGCGAGTAAGCATCCACACACACAATCAAATTTACAATAATCGATACTGTAATCGAATTATTACAAACTGAAATATGTCTACGATTTGATGAATAAAGTTTCTGCTAACATTGAATCTACATCGGAAAATCAATCAATCAAACAATCAACTATCATTCTTGTATACATTAGTCATCAGAACCAACGTAGGAAAATTTGATACTCAGATGCGTCCAAAGTCAAACTGCATAGATCAAATTTCTAATCACAATAACTACCTGGTGGGATTCACCACGCTAAGTGGTTTGAATCAATAGAGAATATGGCCCGGAAGAGATCTCAGTGATATAAATGTATTTACTTTGTTTCATCCTCTAGATTTCATGTTTCACTGTTAAATCTTACCTTTAGATAGATTCATGTCTATTCGATCATGTTCTCAGTATTTAGTCTTTTGTACTATTATTGATAAGATAATGATTTTGAACCATTTGCTATTCGCCCGACCGTAGCTGCTACCTTGACGTGGTGGTCGGGCTTGCCTATCGTGATGAACCAACCGAGCTATATTGGCTAGAACATAATGTCCCTATAGGTTCTACCATGCCAAGCTGATCGATTAGAGAACGATGAGACTAAAAGCAGCTACTCAAGGTCTGAGGGCGAAGTCTTGCTGCTGACCATAGACGGGTGTGACAGCAGTAAGGTCTTTCACTCGGACAGAAATCATCTGCAGCGATGCTGCCTTCTCACAAGGAAGGAAGGGTTAGGAAAGGTCGACCCTAAAAATGTCACACCTCGCCTACCTCACGGATTTCCGTCTCCTTGGGTAAGGGTGCCCACTAAGGGCCTTTAAGAGCAGGGCTAATACTCAAAATACCTCTCATAAAAAAACCATACGTGACAGGCCTCAAGCAGTTGTCCCTTGGACTCTGCGGTTACGCCGCCAGGTCTCTAAGACCGAAACTAATCTACCTTCCTTTTCAGGTTCCTCAATAAAAACCCTTCCAAGGTGTGGGCAGCTGGGAAGTGACAATCACCCTCAAACCCGTAACAGCACGCGAGACCAAATCGCTCAAAATCAAATCCTTCCTATACCCTTACATTTGCTATTCAGCTCATCATATTGATGTGGCAAATTAACTCAAGCTAATACACTAGGCATTATGTTACGAATTATTGACTAGTTTTAAGAATTAACTAAGTATCAAAGTGAAAAGTGTGTTCACAAAACTCAGTAACCATTTAATCTGGTAATTATTTCATAATGAGTGATACCTGTTATCTGCCAAGACAGCAAAGAATGTTATGAATCTGAAAACCCTCCTGAATCCCTTCTTGGGTTACTGCCAATTCCAAGTTCGAATAAAGGAGGAAGGTTGGTCATGGCTTAGAGAGCCCATCCCGTAGAAAGTCAACTCGCTAAAAAAAACGCTAACCAGAAATGGTCGGCGGCTTATGCTCCATTCAGGGTAACAAGCCTAAGTAAGTAAGTAAGTAAGTAAGGTTGGCTGTATCAATCGATATTATAGTATCTCTAACGTAAGGAGCAATCATTCTGAAGAAAAATTAAGAATTAACTTTTAATTTTCAATAAAACTTTGATTAAAAATGAACATCAAATTGAATACCACTGAAAACTAGAGCGTACTAGACAAGTATTTCGTTTTAGTTTGAAACTTTTTGGGAAGGCATACTCATCACCCGATATAGGATACTGCGAAGTCTAAGTCTCTTAATGAGCACACCATTATATTTAGACCAAAAAGTTATAGGCTAAATGTTCAACCTTTTCAAATTATGTTTAGTTCTATGGATTATTGTTGATTTACAATTTTGAAAAGTTTAAAACTAAGAAAGAACAGTTATTTCATCTTCTGTCCATCACTCATTAGTTCTTAAGATATTCTCAATTAGGAATCGTTGTACAGTGGTTTCACCCTAGTATAGAACTCCTCAGCAGTGTGGACCCTATGATGTCACCAAGAATTAAACCAAGGACCTTCACTTTTGGTGATAGGAAGACCACTCAGTCGATACTTTATGTTCTCTATTCATTAAATCCTCACTGTTGTAGACAACAGTCTCACATTCAATATAGTTAAACTTCCCTTTACTAACTAGTAAGTTCATGACTTTCAATGATGTGAATTAATGAGGCCAATCTTCATAAACGAAACAACTTTCACCTGTTGATTTATTATTGATTTTTCTCCAAACATAGATCTTACAATCATTGCTGTTATCATCGTTCATCAAGTCAACCACAAACAAGACATGAAAGAATCATTCAAAATCATTTATCCCGAAATAATCCCTGTAATTATGCGGATGAATACAAAACATCTTTAAAGAAAATGTTTATGCATCATGGGCATGATAATAGTAATAATAATATTCAATGTTACAATGTACAAAACACATTTCAATCATATCAACAACAACAACACCGACAACACCGAAGAAATCAACAATCCTCGAAAAGACAATCACAACATCGACAAAAACGTACAAAGAAACGTGCTAAATCCTACATCCCTATACATCATATCCATGCTAATGACACAACGAACAATCAACAGCTGAATAATGATGATTCACCTATAAAATTCAATCATTATACATTAGAATTAGATCAATGCCAAAAAGAAATAATCAATCATCAAATCATTGACAATTGTTGTCCAATTTATCCAATTGAATATTTGATGAATTTAAAACAAGATCATAAATTTAAACGTTACAATAGAAAATATTTAGGACAATTAAATGTTCAAGAATGGTTAGGTAAAACATTACCAACAAACAATGATTGATCACATACAATATATATTTGATTTCAGCGAAAAGAAAATAAACGCACACTTTCTATTGTCATGTAACGATCGATATATGTTAGTTTTATAATTCATTTTTGTGTTATTGAACGAAATGAAGTTGTAATTAATATATTACTGAATATATTTTGTGAGTAACATAATTCGTTTTGAAGAAAAAGTTGTTTTGGGTCCTTAAGTAGGTGAAGACAATGTGGTTGATACTACCCGTAAAATGGCTTATGAGTAGTATGCAGCACAGAGGTTACTTCTGCACTGAAAAGACTGTCGGATCCTCATGTACAGCGTGATCATAGTAATTTGAAGATTAGAAGATATGTAAAATCGAAAGTCTGAAGTTAAGGTGTACACATTTTGCTGATTAACAGTGTCTTCTATAAAAAAAATCACTTATTCTATCTCGTCTTAACACATTCGTTCATTATAGTAGTACTGAAATGGAGGCAGCTACATTAATTCAGTATCGCTCTCCACAAGAACACTTTGAGTATGGCTATAAGCACTTACTTTTCACCTAAAGATATGTACAGACATTAAACAATGGATAACTGAATCTTCATTTAAAAAAACGTAAGGCGTTTTAAGCACAGGAAAATAACTTCCAAGAACAGTGTCCAATTTAAATAGCTCCGTTAGTAATATCGAACCTAGAGAATTGATATTTCATATTTACTGTGACCGAAATGTAGGTTTTTATTTCGATGAAGAATCGAAGTTTTGTCGCACTTAATACATACCCTTTATACCTTGATGACTTAATAGATGGCTCACGTTGCAGGACCACCAATCAGAAAAAAAAGATTTCCAATACTTGGTCCTTGAGCTAATCAACGACCAGCCAGCTAACACTGATAGTCTTGAGTCTCTGCAACGCTCTCATTAGATCTATGTTCGATAGCTTCTGTTCCAGCCTTGTCCATAAAGTCAAGACCACAGAATCATATACATCGAGAATACGTGTTTTCTGTACAGGTATACTGGACCGCATCACATCAGAAAATAACAACTAAACATGAATACGTCAAAAATGGCCATGAATAGGAATTAGAAACCTTGAGGCACTGAACGCCCGTTTCCTCTTGGTATGAGACTCGTCTGCAGTGCGCAACCAAGACTCCCACAACTGGCAGGATTCAAACCCAGGACCTTGCATGCAAACGCTTAACCTATGAACAACTGAACCGGCGTCCAAAGGTGATGTCTAACCCAATAAAACAAGGCAAATTGTCATATGCTCACTAGTGACTAGCTCCCTGCGGAATTTCATTTGAGTCCTAGTAAGAAGTCGTGACCAGTGGAGCTCAAGCCTATTATAGTGTGAAGCAATGCTCAAAGAAGGCAGTGGATATCACACTGTCACTAGTGATCAATGGAATAACCACATTAGTCTGAGAAGATATACGAAGTTATTTCAAGATCTCTTACAACTGTAGTCACGTGTTTAAAATGATTTTTCACCAAAAGGCAAGAAAAATCATTCATAAATACTATTCTGTTGATGTACATTTTTATTATGAGGATTTGTGTTATGATATTCATACAATATCCTAAGAGAATTATTGACCAATTCCTATTGGTTAATTCATACTGGTCAATTTTATGGTCGTCCTAGATATCAATGTCACGTGCTCCAATGTTGTTTCCTATTGGTCGTCTTAACCGTCGATGTCACAGACTTCGATGCTGTTTCCTATTCGACCAAAATGTATAAATACGCATTATCTGTAACGGTTTTATGATCAGGACCGGATCCCTAGTCCGGGATCCTGATTCTCTTCTGGACTCGAACCTCATACTTTCTGGATGCTCATAGAATACAGGTTCTACCCCACATTCAAGTCTTCTTATTTTTACTCAATATGGGGGTTACGATAATCGGATTTGGGTAGCATGTCGTGTCGCCGGATCCTCGCTCGCGTTTTCCGACTAGGTGAACTCGTAATAGTATATCAAGTTGACGTGTTTACGTGCAGGCGTAACAATTTGTTTACAGTAAACCATCAGTTATTTGTGTAGAAACACACTGAAAACGATTATTTCACTTTTATACACTTTCGTATATATTAACCAAGTTAGCATCTACTATTTGATAGTTCGTTGCACAAAAAATGTCTCCTCTTCGTAGTGATAAATATTTTTACAATGTTTAGTTAGATCAGTTTTATCATGTTGATAAGAAACTCAATAAACATTCCCCGAAACGTGACGAAACCTATGTAGGTGGTTGCTTTGAGATGAGTTTCTTATATTTCGAAAGAAATCATTTTCATTGAAAAATCTCATCGATTCAAAGATATTTTTTGTCATGGAGTACACGATTCTGATCAATAAGCTTAATGTCCACGAAAACAATGGGCTTTGAGAATAGGAGATATTCGTAGGTTACTAGTATTTGATCATAGGTGCCTTCAAAGCATTGCTCGTATTTCCTGCGATGATCGTGTAAGCAATGCTGTTGTTAGGAAACGGATACTAGGTAGGTATGGCAGATCAAAAGATAAATTAGTGAATCCTAGTCAGTTGAGCTGGTTGGGACACGTATTACGAATGCCCATACCACCGACTGCCTCGACAAGCGATACTTTGTGATGTAGAGCTAGGCTGGAAGAGAGCTAAGGGAGGCCAAACCAAAACATGACACAAATCCATGAGGTCACAGACAAGTGGACTGAACCATGTTACTAGCTGTAGACTATCTGGTTCGGGCCCGCAAGACAATAGCAACCGATGGTTTGAGATTTTGAATGACACAGTTCGAAATCGTCCGCAGCGGTGCAGATGTCTTCTTTCGAATTCCTTTTGACCATTTTCCCTCTTTAAAATTACTTCACTAGTTTATACTACTTAAATAATATCTTCGAACCCTAATCTTTTTGGTTACCGTAATACTTCTATTACCTTTGCTACTATGGGATTTGAATTGACAATTCAACTTTTCTATGGTAATATAGTATGAAAACTTGAACTGATGTACGTATGTAGCAAGTTCTATGTTGAAGCCGACTGTCACAAAATCAACACCAGTTGCTTGAGTAGTAAGGAAACTTTTTATTACCAAATCCAATTGAGAAATAACTATCCTCCCGAAATTTAAGCTTTATTCTTTTATTAATCAAATATTTCATGCTTCAAAAAATAATTAAGTCACCTCTTAATCGATCATGTGAACTGATCATTTGCTTAATGCCTGAGGCTATCTACCTAATAAGTATTAATATTTAGGTAGTTTATTAGGTTAAAGAAACACAAAACTTTCAATCTTAAAACCATATGAAAGAATTTAATTGAGAATGATGTCAATCAAAATTGTTGACATGCTGTTTTGAAAAAAAAAAACTAAAACCATACAAAATGATCATTATTTATTCAATAAAACATTAGTCCATAATAAAATGACTTGGTTGAATGAAAGTTCACTTTGAAAAAAAAACGGAATGAACATGAGTTTAATTATTAATTGAAAAGAAATGTATAACAGAAGTGAAAAAGCACTTTCGGGTGACTTTACTTCCGTAGCTGCTACCTTGACGTGGTGGTCGGCCTCGCCTATCGTGATCATGCAAACGAACTATACTGGCTGGAACATATGTTCCTTTAAATCCTACCATACCAGGTAGGGTGATTGGAAAAGGGTAACACTTAAAAAGCAACAACTTAAGGTCTAAGGACGAAGTCGTACTGCTCATTGTAGGGGAGTGTAACAGCAGTAAGGTGTTTCCCTCGGGCAGCCAGCATCTGCAGCGATGTTGCCTTTTCACAAGGAAGGAGACAAAAAAGGTCGCACCTCACCTCACGGATTTTTGTTTCCGGTGGCAAGGCCACTTATCAAGCGCAACTAACACTTTATAAACTTCCCATAGAAAGGCTATCCCAAGTAGTTGTTCGTTAGGCTCTGCGGTCACACTGTCAAGTCGTTAAGACCAACACTATTCCAATTTCTTTTTCAGGTTCCTCAAGAAACATCCCTCTACGGTGTGGGCAACCGGGAAGTGACATCCGCTCTCATACCCGCAACAGCACACGAGACAGAACTGGTCACAACCAAATCCCTCCTACACCCCCTCTAACATCTCTCTTATTAGCACTATTAGCCCTTCTTACGTTCCTTTATCACCCCGTGCCGCTAATACAAACTAACTAACCTCCATCGTTTTGTTATCTCCAATATATATTATTACAATACACTTAATAATCTTGTGCTACCATAAGATGAATAGGAGTTGGTACGCTCTTCAAATTTAACGCAAAATAACCACACTTCCTTATCCAAACTGGTTTGATATTATAACAGAGTTTCACGCTTTAAAGAAAGTATTCAATCAAATAAACAGTAGTATATATTCTCTGCTAAGAGTTGAGAATTGTAAAGTCTGCTAAATGTAAATAATCACACCAGACTAAAATCCATACAGTAACTTTAACACAAGAGGAAAAAACTGCAAAGTACAAATAGAACACTCTATCCTACGGTTAGCTTATGTACAGGGAAAAAAATGAGCATGTTTAAAAGAGTCACACACAACCTAACTCATCTGAAAGTTTGTGGGAATCATATGAAAATAGAATAGCGGTATGGTTAAATCTCTTTCCAATCATGGCACATGTGATCATGTTGCACCAAAGGTTCTACTCAGAGACAGACACACAGATACAACGCAGAACTTCGTACATAAGTACATCAGTTCAGGTCGCCAAACCACATTAGCACAGAGAAGCAACTGTCAGTTCAAATAAAGAGTGATAACCATAGTAGAAGTATTAGCAGTAATGGAGAAGATTGGGGAGCAAATATACGATTCGAGAAGTATAATTCAGTAAGATAAATTTAGAAGGAGAAAGGTAGAGATTATGAGGAATTCAGAAGCTTAGAATTTCATAGAACACAAAGCATGGATGCACCTGCGCCATTGCAAACGATTCTGAGCTATGTCGTTCAAGGTCTCTAATCATCGGTGACTATCGTCTCGCGAACCCCAACCAGGTAGCTTACATCTACCAACATGACTCAGTCCACTTGTCAATGACTTGATGAATTTCTGCCATGTTTTGGTTTGGCCGCCCCGAAAGTTCTACTCACCGATGACAATTAGATAAAAAAGGTCTCGTTCGGTTGACTGATTGATTTTTATTTAGAGTGATCTCCCATTACTCCCTAGTATGAATGGAAGGTGCGGGGGAGAAAACAACCATGGTACTCAATAGATATGACTGATTTGTAATACAAAATCAATTTATACGTTCGAAAACAACAATCAATCAACCAATCTCTAACCCTATTGTGATTTGATATGGTACAATGTAAGAAGTCAATTTTAGCATTCCAATTTGAAAATACAAAGAAAAAAGGGAGAGATAAAGAAAAAACCAAGAAACAAATGCAAAAAAAGAAAGAACAATTTCAATCAATGGTTACTTTTTCTTGGGAGGGGAGGGAGGGGGAGATGGGTTCGGCAGAAAATATCTTTTATTCAAGTATAATGAAAAATAAAAATGTAACTAAAAAAATAATCATGACATTTTCATCTGATATTTCTCTTTTTCTCTCTATGTATCTCTTTCTCGCTCTCGTTAGGAACATTGTTGTATATCAATGTCAAATGGTTTAGTTAAATTTGAAACAGTTTGATATTGTAATTGATAGGCTAATGGATGCATTTTAAAACCGAACAATCTAATTCAGAAAGAGAAAAAAAAGAAAACGAACAAAGATGACAATGAATCAAACTAAAGTTTGAAACAAGTTGAGTGTTACGCCTACACGTAAACACGTCAACTTGATATACTTGAACTATTACGAGTATACCTTAGTCGGAATACGAGAGCGAGAATAGAGGATCCGGCGACACGATATGCTACTCAAATCCGATTATCCCAACCCCCATACTGAGTAAAAATAAGAAGACTTGAATGTGGGGTAGAACCTGTATTCTACAAGCATTCAGAAAGTACGAGGTCCGAGTCCAGAAGAGGATCAGGATCTCGAACTAGGGATCCGGGACCGGGTCCTGGTCACAAAAGGTTACAGATAATGCGTATTTATACATTTTGGTCGAATAGGAAACAGCATCGAAGTCTGTGACATTGGAAGTTAAGACAACCAATAGGAAGCAACATTTGAATTGTGACTTTGATAGCTAGGACGACCAATGAGAAACAACATTGGAGCACGTGACATTGATATCTAGGACGATCATAAAATTGACCAGTAGGAATTGACCAATAATTCTCTTAGGATATTGCATGAATATCTTAACATTGCGAGACATTAAATCACTAGAAATCACACTCAGAAAAGGTTCTAATTTTGTAATTTATTTCTGGAATTTTCTGAATTTTCAGGTTTCCGAGTCAAGAGACGCCTAGTTGATCGACAGCTTACATGTCCCACTCGGGAAATCTTTGACTATCATTGGTTGATGGATTATTAATTTAGTACGCTATTTTGTGGCTCTCACCAAGGGTGTTGCTATGATTGTATAAATAAGCATGATTTGTGTGCTTAGCAACTTCGTATTTCTGGGTGCTTGTAGAATATACTCTCTATGCCTTATCAAGACTTCTTGAGGTAGTTGCCGGGGCTGGGACAAATGGGTCAGAATTTCTTATCGTGTCACTCAGTCATTGCTTTCGTTCCGTTTACTGAGTAAGATGAACTTGTAATAGTTTCAAGCATATTAGTACAGTTTTATACATGCAATTGTTATATAAGAATAAAATTGTATATTTAGTATAGGGGTTGTGAAGATTATTGAGTTTCACTGAAATCGTGAATCGATCAAGGTTGGGTCAACATTAGACACCTCAAAGTAGTACATGGCCGTTTTGTCCTAGTATGGGGACTCATCGGCAGTATGAATCGACAATCTCTCAAGCGAAATGTGATCAAGAACCTTCGGTTTCGCGCGTGAAGATCTAACTTCTAGACCACTAAGCCAGTAACCGACGACGTTAATATCTAAATTCAATCAGTCCACAATATTGCGTGATATTCATTGTCCTCAGTGGATAACTGCCTAACACTCGACACGGCTGAACCCTACTGGTCAAGCCTTTTCACTAGGACACCGAGTATTCGCTCACGAGGCTAGTCACTAGTGAGCATATGATAATTATCAATATGGAGTTGTGAATATTGTCCAGTTTTATTGAAATCATGTTCGTAGATGCTCACTGCCGATAAGCCAGTCCTATACTAAGACAAAAAGACTGTCTAGCGCCTCCAGGTTTCTCAAATGATGGTCTAACATTGATCGATTCACGATTCCACAGAATAAATAATGTAACTTGAAATTAGTCAGAGTAGTGCAAATGCATTGATTCCTTGTTTTACTATAAATTATGAGTTCTATATATCTATATATATATATATATCAAAATAATACCTTTTATTTTGTTCTCGCTATTTGAATTACATTCTTTATACTTAGTCTAATCTATTTTAAATAGGTATAGATTACTTGTTTAGAGTTCGAGTGATTATTGTCGTAACCAGTCGCATGCCAGTAACTTTGAATGACATGGTTCAAAAAGTATTGTTGCAATGGTGTAGATGCATCGATTTTCAGCTTCAGAATTCTTCATAAGCTTTTTCTTCTTCTTTGTTTTAAAATTTTATTTTATTGGTTGATACTTTACAGAATCTTATTTTCTATTACCTCTAATACTGTGAATATCTGTACTACTCTAGGATTTTGACCTGAAAATTTCATGTTTCTGTCTGCTAATGTGGTATGACAGTTTAAATTAATGTATATACGTACAAAGTTTTACGCTGCGATGGACTGAATGATTAATGTAATCTTTTCTACTATCACTGTGATTATTATTCCGAGTGCTTTTGTATTTATCTTGTTAACTCCACCAGAACTAGTATGATAACAAGTGAAGCAGTTGAGAGTGTTGACCACTTCAGTTATCTTGGCAGTCTCATCAGTGCTGGGAACCTGGTGACTGACAAAATCTCAGCACGGATAAAGGAGGCTCGATTGCATTGTGCCATCCTGCGTCACTAATGGAGTAGGCGAGATATCCGTTTACTAAACAAAACTTGAGTCTACTGCGCAGCAGTTCACTTCGTTCTACTTTATGGCTGTGAAACATGGCCAGTAAGAGTTGAGCATGTATTCGTAGGTTACTGGTTACCGATCATAGGCGTCTCTGAAGCATTGCTCATGTATCGCGGGACAGCCGAGTAAGCAATGCTACTGTTAGGAAACGGGTGCTAGGTAAGGATGGCAGGTCAATAGTAGTGAAGTAGTGAAACTTCATCAGTTGAGGTGGTTGGGACATCTTTTCCGTATGCCTAACCACCGACTGCCTCGACGAGCTTTGTTTTGTAGCGTTGGAATAGGTTGGAAGAAAGCTACGGGCGGTCAACCCAAAACATGGCAGAAATCCATGAAGTCACTGACAAGTGAACTGAGTCGCGTTGGTAGATGTAGGCTACCTGGTTGGGGCGCGCGAGATGACAGTATTCGATGGTCAGAGATCTTGGGTGACATGGCTCAAAACCGTTTGCGATGGCGCAGGTGCATTGTGTTCTCTCAAATCCTAATCTTCTGAATACCTCATGAACGTTTCTTCTCTTTTTCTAAATTGATTCCTCTGGGGTATACATCTAGAATCATATATTCGATCATTAATCTTTTTTTATGACTGCTAATACTTCTACTACGTCTACTATTATGGGATTTGAATTGACAATTGCGTCTCTGTTCTAATATGGTATGGCAACTTGAACTAATGAACGTACGTACGTACGAAGTTCTACGTTGTAATTGAACTGACTGACATGTATTAAAGTTGTACAGAAGAAAAAGAAAGAACATCATCGTATTGTTCCTTCTTTCTACAAAAAAAAATTACAAAGGCACTTACAATTACCTTGCAACATAGTGCTTATCCGCTGGTTTCGGTCTATACTCTGGATGAACTAAAAACAACATATGCGGGAAACCTGTGCCAAAATATGCTCCATCTGTACGATGATAACGAGTGGAATTCGGTGTATACACATCTTGACACTTGGGACAGTAAAGTTTCACTACACATTCACATGGAACATCTGACAAGCCGATTGGTAGACATGGTTGATTTGTACAATATACCTTTTAAAAAAAAACATGATTTTTGAAATATAATATTTGACCAACATAACTTTATTGAAAATTGTAATCTAAACAACGTGAATTAGACGAAAACTAACCCTGTTTATGATGATAATAATCATGTTGAATACTTACAACTCATTGTTAAATATATTCACAGACTAGGTTACTACTACTTGTTACATATGCACGTAAACACGTCATTTTGATATACTTGAATTATTACGCGTTTCCCTTAGTCGGAAAAAGAAAGCGAGGATCATTGATCCGGAGACACGACATGCTACTCTAATCCGAATGTCCTGAACCCCATTGAGTGAAAGAAGACTTGATATGAAGTAGAACCTGTATTCTACAAGCATTCAGAAAGTACGAGGTCCGAGTCCAGAAGGGAATCAGCATCCCGGACTAGGGATCCGGGTATGGGGCCGGCTCATAAAACGTTACAGATAATGCGTATTTATGCAGTTAGGTCGGATAAGAAACAACATTGAAGCATGTGACATTGAAAGTTAAGACGACCAATAGGAATTGACCAATAGAATTAGACTTATAAACAATTATCTCCGGATATTGGATGAATATCCTAACACTCCTAATATGTATGTAATTTACTACTGGATAGGTCAATGTTTGGGGAAGGAAAGGCCAGGACGGAGTAGATTGGAGAACACTGGTCGGCGGCCTATGCTACATTGGGGGTGACATGCGCAAGTAAATGTAGGTGAATGTTTAAACAAAAAGCCAGATAAGACGAACATAAAGGTTGAGTTCACACACACAGAATCAAGATCACTTGTTCAGAATCATTTGCATTTAAAAATTCTGTCAAGTATTGAATATATATTTGAATAACACAAATCAGATTGACAGAGATCACAAACATTAATTCTGATAAACATCATCTATCTAACAGTATAAATTTGAAAGGTTTGTATATATATATATAGAGTAATGTAAATAATGAACACCTTTATTTTAATTCTCTCTCTTATTACAACCCAGCTATTCCTAATACTTAGTATTCTCGGACACCAATTCACTCGAGACGTTCTCACAAATCAGAACACGGTTGAACAGGAAATATAAGAAGTTCGTTCCAAAGGAAAAAGTAGTTAGTATATTTATAGTTTTCTTACATGAGAAGATTCTAGAATGTTCCCTCAGTATCGGCTGGCGCTGATTGGATACGAAAGAGCCAATCAGCGTGCAACAAAGCAATCATGCTTTAAATCCAAACCATGTCCCACTAACAACCTTTAAAATAGTGTCGGTTGTTTAAATATAATAGGCATACGGGTATTTGATTTTATTTTTTAAAAATTTTGAAAGAAAAGAAACCCCTTACCCTGGGACAATAACCGAAATCACCTTGTTGCCATTTGTTTAACATGGTGCCTAGTCCACGATTTGTCAGAATATATCTAGCATGTATCAATCCGTAAAGCATTTCAGCTGCTTGTTCTACATGATCAGTACTTTCTAGATTATTATTGTTATTAGTAGTATTGGTATTAGTAGTAGTAGTATTATCATCATCAGATAAATCTGTAAATTGAAACCAATTTATGAAATTCAGTAAATTTAAATACACTTAAAAAATAATAACAACAATAGCTTAACGTATAAATTACCAATTCGCTTATTATTTTTATGCAACTACTAAACTAACTCCGCTAGCAGCCCTCCTAAGGTTACTGCTAGTCCAAAGCCGGTGGATAAAAGATGAGGGTTGGGTATGAGCTGAGCAACGATCTCATTTCGTATAAATTCAACTCGCTAATCAGAGAAATAATTCGTTGATCGGCAGCCTATGCCCAATTAAAAGTAACAGGTGTAAGTAAGTATCTACTATACTGTTGTATCAATATGAATTGTAATTTTCACACTACTGGTTTAAAAGTAACTATTAAACATGAATTTTCAATCAATATACACTGTGCATGCATGATCAGATGTTAATGTATTAAGAAAGGTTGTTTTTTTCATAAACTTCTGTGATCTTGTACTAGTTAAATCTATCATCCAATCCTATATATAGAACACATTTTGATTGTGTTACATTTGATCAATACAATACGAATCGATCGATCGATCAATCAAATCGTGAACAATGATGACAATATAGTCAGTCATATGATAAAAGTTAAATAAAAAATTGAATTATCCATGTGAAAAATTATTTAAGCAAATTGACTGATAGCAGGAAAATTATTTGAAAAACACAAGGGGAAGTATGGAAAATTTTAATTTGTAACTTTCAAACTCAAATGATGTTCATTCATCGTCATAAAAGGATTGAAATACGTGTTGGTTGATTGAAATAGCAATTATTGAAAAAGAATATTAGAAGAGTTCATCAGCAGACGGGGGGAGGGTTTGAATAATTATTGTTTCATTTTTTTTCAATACATGAGGTGTAGACGTTAGATGTGCATCTTTTACATGATCTTACTTTTTTAATATTTATATTTACACCTGTGTTACCCCGCCCCAATCGAGCATACACCGCCAATCAGTACTCCCCAACCTACTCTGTCTTATGCCTTTGTTTTGTAATGCTGTCCAATTGTTGTTCATTCTTCTCATGTTTGTCTTTATTTCTCGGTGTAATGTATTCTTTGACCTTGGGTATTTCAGGTGATGGCTGCTTATTTTGTGACGCAGTTGGATGCTTTTCTCAATAGGTATCTGTTGTAACGCCTGCTTAAACGATTCGCAGCTAAATCTTATTGCTTAGTATTCTCTGACCACAATACACTGGACAAGTTCCAAAGAATCAAAAACACGGTTGAACAGGAAAAGATTATATTCCAAGTAGCAAGGTTAAATGGAAATAAGAAGCCAAAGGCGGCGGCGAAGGCAAAAATAGACACAACGTTAGTTTATTTATAGCATTTACGTGAGAAGCTTCTGGATAGAAATTCACCTGATCGACTGGATTAGATTTAGCCAATCAGCATGCAGCTAACAGCACGAGAATTTTCTACCCTGTTCTCCAAGAATCGATCAGGCGCTGATTGGATAGGAAATTAGCCAATCAGCGCGCAGCTGACGCAGTCATGCTTCATTCCCATCTATGTCCCACTAACAGTATCCCATCCACTTCCAGTGCTTCTTGATGATTTTTTTCCTCCATAGGAATGTGGTCTGTTCTCTCCCTTAGTAGTTTGTTGCTGATGATGTCTGGCCAACGGATTGGAAGTAGTATCTTGCGCAGAAAACTGTTAATAAATACTTAAACATTGTGGATGATGGCTTTGGTAGTTCTCCAAGTTTCCGTACCATACAGTAAGTAGAATTGTTTTGACATTCGTAATAAAGAATCTGATTTTGGTGTTTTGGTCGATAGTTGTTTTGAGTTCCAGATCTTTTACACTATCATTACTACTATCATTATGATTATTATATCATTGGTTTTATTGATAATCTTGTTAATCTCATGTTGTCATGTCAATGTACTATAGAATTCTAGCCTAATATATAATAGTTGTGCCATAACTTGAATTAACTATGACTGATTAACCTAAATAATGTAACCTGACCTACAGAAAACAAATGATAAAATTAAATAATTCAAATCTACTAGCTTTAAAGATAAGTCTTATTTGAGCAGTATAAACTGTTATAAAACAGCATAAATGAAAGGGTTTAACTAAAACCTACAAAAAAAATTATAGAGATTCATCATTACGAGCTTCAATGAAACTGTATTAGATTAGTCTTGATATTTTAATAGTTAAAAATTAGCGAATAAGTGAAGGTAAACACATATGCGGTAGCAAAAAAAGTAGAATAATGTATACGAAATTATGTAACCTGTGACGTAATAAATTAAGTTATAACTATCTTGAAATCATGAATGAATGATTGTTAGACCACCATCAGAATACCTGGAAGCACTGGACGACTGTTTCGTCCTGATATGGATGGAACTAATCAGCGGTGCGATCCCACGACTCCCGTTACTCGCAGGATTTGAACCTAGGACCTTCGCGCGAACGCCTAATCTTCGGATTACTGAACTGGCATTTAACAGTGTTAATGTCTAACTCTGATCGATCTGAGAACTAGAACTTAATTTTAAGAGAAAATTGGCAATCGATTATCACATACTTTTTACTGATTTTTTTTTAAAAGATGTACTGATAGTACAATGTATATAATTTAAAAACAATAAGGAGGTGGTCTAAATTCCATTACGCTAGCAGTTGTGTTTATTTTCGAAAATCACAATGTAATATCGACTTCAGTGATTTGTATATATATATATATATATATATATATATTATTGATATAATACGTTTGCTAACTTTGTGAATATTTAAGATGACCAATTTGTGAAGAAAGAAAAACGATGTAAACAGGAATAAGTTCTCTTTTGGCTACAATTAACCAGTATATTAGGGAAGATTGATTTGAAGCTCATGATATAATTTAATAACTGATTACAACTACTGATATCATATAAAATTAAAACAAAATTTCACTGTGACTGATGTCAATTTTTCAAGTGAATAGTTTTACATGATATGTTTCCCAGTTTTTTGAAATTCCAAGCTGACTACTGAACTAATGATAAACAACAGTACGCTTTCTCTTAAGGTTTATTGAAGCATACAGTTGAATAGGAAAACCGGTGCAAACTGATCACAGAAACTCGATAATGTGAAAGTAGCTGGATATACATACATATATATATATATATATATATACAAACGATACGAAAATCTTAAAGTTATGTAATTTACCAGATTCTAAGTCAAGAATTATGTTCAAAGCTTCATGGAATTTGGGCACTTGTTCTGCAAGACCAGTAAGATTGAAACGATCTTGAATATAATCCTCGTCCACTTCACAGAAAAACTCATTCCCACGTAAACCACAAAACCAAGCAATCCATGTCATATCATCACTGCTACTCATTCTGCTTTACAAGACAAAACGAAAGATATCATGTATGTTCACCACGTGTACGAGTTTGCTGGTTAAAAATCCCTGCCTTCTAACTGAACGTATTTTATCTAAAGGGTAATTTTTCGATTTATAATTCAGTACATACACTAATATAAAAATCAAAATTTGAAAGTAATTATCGAACAAATAAGAGGAAGAAAACATTTTGAAAGGTTTGCAGTGAACATGATTTGTCATATACATTGTTGCGTATACGCCACATAATCAAAATCTACAAATTTAAGTCGGTCAACAACAAACAAATCCTACAGTAGATCTATATATATGGTTTAACAACAAAGAATCTTAATCCAAGTATTATCTGTATGTGTCAACGGAATTTGATGGAACGCTTTTACCAGAGTTATTTTCGAGAGGCTTTCACAAATTGTGTATGGGACTATATATCTAAATGGTAGCTTTTGATCGTTTAGACGTCGATAGTCTCCGCATGTGCATAAGTAGTGATATTTTCTAGGATCATATGTAACAGAGATGTCCATAAACTGTTGAATTAGCGGATGAAACTTAAATGCATTGAATTTCTTCCCCATCTCGGGATTTTCAGGGGGTGGCCCTCTTGGTTTATTGAAGACTGGTTGACCAGTTGTATATATATAAAGTTGAGCACAATGCAGCATATGTCCTATGTGATGAATTCATCTATTTATACTGTCGTACTCGTATTGAAGATACCCACTGTTGGTTTAGACATATGAATGAATTAAAATCTATAATTAGTTATAACGTATTTAACCTGGAGAATTGTATTTGCATCGTTGAGCTTGGAATTAACATCAACTAGCGTTTTAAGCACTGAGGAAGTCTGCCAGTACATAGATCGTCCGATTTCAGCTATGATTAATACCCATAAAAAACGCCATCTGAGCCAAAAACCTGATATTATGGACTGTTCATCACAGATGTAAATTGCTACAAAGTTGGCTGTCTGAAATATTAGGTTGCTGACTAGGCAGTGTCGCCGTCATAATCGCGTCCCAAAAGTAACAATTTTGACACGTATCTATTAAAACATCAGCGCCGGAAGTTCTATTTGACGTGAAATAAACGGCTTACTGAGTAATCAGTAGCCGAATCAACATATGTTTGGTGGAATTATTTCCCACACAGTTCTGCATGCGTTGCGGGAAAACTTCACGGTTTAGTGGATCTATTTCATTTCGGTTCGAATATTCTGTGATACCCACTCCTCTACAGTTTGCAGTAGTGGTCGAGAACGAGGTCATGAAAAGACCTTTCTCGAAGCGACAATGTGAGCTTACCCAAATACTAAATATTGTGATTTGTAGCACAGCGAAAATTTGTGAGTTCGAATAGCTATCGTTGTATTGCTGCCAAATCGTTATCATAGGTCTCAACTCTTGTTTTTGTTGCTTGCAGCATATCGATGCTGCTAGTGTCTGGTTACACCAATATATCAGCCATAGCTATCATATCATCCAGCGTGATTGATCTATTTGATACACTTAATATGTGCTACACATTGCACGATGACTGTTGTAAAAAGACCGATTTAAAGACTTTCATATAGCTTATGTGACCTTAGTGTCTCATATATAATAACGGCTGCTAAGTTTTTAGGCCTTTTAGATGGGAGCATTGACTTAATAAGTAGATATTACACATTTTGAACATGTCGCTTATATCTTTCTGCACTATAATGACCGTATGTTATGGGCTAATAATCAAGATAATTGAGATTTATTTGAAAGTTCAAATGTATTTTTATCTAACAGTTTTAGAACATGTTTCAAGAGGGAAGTATCCCTGTCAAGCTAAGAGAACATAACGCAACTGCTTAACGAAATAACGGCTTTGATGAACACTGAAAATAACCATGAATATTCCCGATATTAGTGTTTAAGAAGGAAACCATAAGAGTGAATAAGCATTGCCGGCTGCAGCATAACGAACGGAAGCAACTTGTATGAAGCGTATTTATTAGGTTTAGGATTAAAAAATTACTATTCAATATGAAAAAATAGGCTGAGAAAATTTGAAAATGGCTCCAACTCAACCTATCACTTACCTAACCTTGAGTACTTCAGACAAACGTTTCGAGAGACCCGCCTCTGTTTTTGTCCAGTTATGAGCGCATGAAAATAATTTTCCCCTCCAATATCCAACATCCCTGGATTGACATGTTGCTTATTGTTGTGTTGTCATTTATGAATCAGCCTCTACTGCAGCTAGTGGTTGCAGCATACAAACAAATGAACCACATGAATACTGAGACCTGAATTTATATAAGTGACCTTAATGAAGATGCAAAATGAACATGACAACAAACAAATGAAAGGAATAAGCTTGATTGATATAATTATCAGTTAATGCACAGTGTTTCAGTTAACATGTGTTAAGCATGTAGTGGAGCACTTCTACGATGAAAATGCGATTCATGAAAAATAAATATTTATTATTGTACTCAGTTAGTGCCCCCAGCTACTAGCTCAGGCACCATCCTATGTGATATTCCCACTTGTCTACCCCAACCCATCATGCCCTCTGCTTATGGTCGTCTCGTCTTCGATGCCCTTCATGGATTGTCTCATCCAGGTATCACAGCAACATTACGTCTCATCGCTGCATGATACGTTTGGCAGTCCATGAACAAAGATGTCCGTATGTGGGTAAAGCAATGCTTACAGTGTCAACGATTAAAGGTGCACAGGCACGTAGCTGCCCCTATCGGCACATTCGCTACGCCTGGTGCTAGTTTCGATCATGTTCATACCGACATTGTAGGACCATTGCCACCATCGCACGGATATGATCACATACTCACGTGCATCGATCGTTCCACAAAATGGATCGAAGCTATTCCCATCACTTCTATTACAGCGAAAGCAGTGACTTACCGCTTCGTAGAACGATGGATAGCTCTGTACGGTTGTCCCTCGACTGTCACAACTGACCGAGGACAACAGATCGAGTCCGAATTATTCTCTTCACTAACCGGCTGCTCGGTACGGAGCTCATACGCACTACCGCCTACCAACCAGCTTCGAATGTTTTGTCGAACGGTTTCATCCCCAACTTGAAAGTGCTCTTTGAGCAAACGAAAACAGCAATTGGTACGAAACCTTACCGATCTTCCTCCTAGGGATCAGAACGAGTTTAAAGGCAGAGATTCAGTGTTCCGCTAGTGCGTCTGCCTTGGGAATTTTTCACACCAGGCAGCCGTGATAATTTCAATAAATCAGACTACGGTTAACGATTGTCTGAATTTATGCGAGTACTGCCTCCGGTGTCAACTCGAGTACAACATCGACAAGTCGCCCTCCCTCGAAAGTTACCTACCTGTTCGTGTGTTTTCATGCGAGCCGATTCGGTAAGCAAATCTTCGCAACAATCTTACGAAGAACGTTTTCACGTGATTTTCTGTCATGAAAAGACCTTCAAGGTTGCTCAACATGGCCGCCTCGGGGTAGTCAGAATTGACCGTCTCAAGCCAACACACATCGATGACAGTGCCCTACTTGCTAATCCGAGAACCAGAGCTAGACCTATCGAACCTACTAGCGGGATCCCTAAAGCTACTTCGGATCCCACGCTAGACAAACCAGAGACCTCATTCTCACGTCCATATTAGCAGACAACGCCTTCCTTGACTTCGGATGAGGTTGTCGGCTCACGAGGTAAGCACAAGACTACCACCTTGTGTTCCGGTCGCTGCGTACGCCTACCCATACGTTTTCTTGACTAACCAATCAACAACAGATACGGTATAGGATTTTGTCCCCATGCCACATGCATGCTACATCTTTCCTTTTTGCTTTGATATTTTTTTATCCTCAGCCCATGCCTCCGACCATCGCCTTGTTGGTACCGTCGACTTCGGTCAACGTTGAAGAAAGCTGGCCTGATCACCCACGCTCTTGTCAATGCACTCAGTCGAAGTTTTTGTATACATATGGTTCCGAACTTGGTCGCTATGGTTGTTTCTGGCTCCCTCGCTCAATCTGGTTCCGTCCCGCATCTGCAGCTTTTTGTGGCCCGAACCACTGTGAACACGATCTTCAGATTCTGGGTAAGAGTCACGCTAGTGTGGCACGCCAACCTGAGCAGCAAACCTGGCTCGTTACCACTTGTACAGTTCAACGTAGAAGACTTTCAATGACAACTCGAGCTTCCTGTTCGTCAACCCTTCCGCACTACAATCGCAGCTTGACCGACCAGCCTCCCCCACGAACCCCCTGCGTATCGAATGTGCGAACCCTTACTAGGAGGGGGCTGCTGTAGTGGAACCTACGATGAAAAATGAACATTTGTAATTGTAATCATTTTGTTTAACTGAACCAAAAACACTCACTTGCGCGCAGCGTTCATTTACACGTTGCTGCCATTTTTCATAACTTGCTGTTCTATGTAAAGCTTACTTTGTCCTCCAAATAAATATTGGACCACGGATTTATTTCAGTAAATTTCGAATAATATGAATATTTAGTGGTGATCATAGTCAATCTCGACTCGGTCACCACGAAAAGTATGCGAATGAAGTTTGGTTCTTACTTTGTAATATAGGAGTATTAACAATCATTTGTAATGTAAGCAGACTGTTTTCAACACTCAGATATATAATTTTAGATGTTTGACTTTCGCATCAGGACTTTGTGTCAAAGCAGCTATAACTCAAAGTTATTCACATGCTACATAAGTGGATTCAATGAAATCCCAACCGCAACTGCTACCTTGACATGTTGGTTAGGCTTACCTATCGTAATCACCTAACCAAGCTATGTTGGCTGGAACATATATCCCTGAAGGTTCTACCATGCTGCTCGTTCTGGAGCACTTGCTTGTACTCGGACCATGCTCTTGTGAGATTGCGTATTTGTTTGAGGCTTACTGGATATAGGAAAGACACCGCATAGAGACTGCCTACGGTTCTACTTAATGACAACAAAGCTAAGAATATATTTCAGGAACAATTGGAAAAACAGCTAGGCAGCCATAAAGTAAGTTCTGCCCACCCTGAGCAGGTTAGAACGATATCAAAAATCTGTGGAAACAGCAGCAACATCTGCTAGAAAGGTGAATCATAAAAGTAGAGCAGACAAAACGCAGTCTTCTGACTACCCTAAGCAACAAAGCAAGCATGTCCGGGATATTCAACGCTCAACTGCTTTAAAAGTGATCCACAATGAAATACTATTTGAAAGATGGTATTCAATCTACTTTCAGGACACAATTCACTAGGTGCCTAGATGGAGTTGGTTGAGCATACTGCTGAATACAAAACGATTGTACCATACTTAACGAAACAGAAGGTGACTTGATATGAAACCTAGGCCCGTCAACATTACTGGCCCATCTCTCCTTATTGCTGAAAACCTAATGAAAAGAAGCTATCAGTTTTGAGTAAACGTTTTATTGCATTTAAATTACAAAATAATATGCAAATTAGGTTCAAAGCCATTACTTACGTACTCCTGTTATCCCCAACTTAGGATAGACCGCCCTCCAGTTTTCTCCAACTAAATCTGTGTATGATTTAATTTGTCCTACAGATGTACTTCTAGAACTGTAAACGCAATATTGGCGAGCACAGAGTCTATGGGAAGGCTATATTCGGAAAAAGACCAATTTCGCTTTAAACTTTAGTTGCTTCTAAAGATAAAAACAATTAGATTAGTACAATAAATAAGGAAATTACAGTTACCAAGTGAAACGATCAAACATACCGACCAATACAGCGTGTCTTGTGGAAATGAATAAAACTGAGAGTCACGTCAATATAATAAGATTAGTAGGTCATTTACAACAAAGAAAGTTTACATACACGTCAGATCAGATGATGTGGTGGGTGCTTGAACCAGAATTCGATTGGTTAGTTATGACATAACTACAATTACTTATAGAAATAACTAACAATCTGTCCTGGACTTCCCTTTCCAGTTCTTTCCAGTTTTTGTTCATTCTTCTGATGCTTTCTGTCTTTATGGGCTTAATGTATTCCTTGGTCTTCCTCTTTTTACTATGAACTTGAGGGTTCCTTGTGGGGGTTTGTCTTGTGACGCAGTTGGTTGCTTTTCGTAAAGTATGTCAAATACACTTCCATCGCTTCTTCCTGATTTCCTCCTCCACTGGAATCTGGTTTGTTTTTTTACACAGTAGGTTGTTACTGATGGTATCTGTTCAACGAATCCGAAGTATTTTGCGTAGACAACTGTTACTGAATACTTGTATCCTGCAGATGTTGGCTTTCGTAGATCTCCAAGTTTCTGCTCCATACAGTAGAAATGTCTTGACATTTGTACTGAAAATCCTGATTCTTGTGTTGACTTGTATTTTTCTGGAGTTCCAGGTGTTGTTCAATCGTGGAAATGCAGCTCTTGCTTTGCTGATTCGCGCCCTAACATTTGCATCGGATGTACAGTGCTCGTCAATAATGATGTCCAGATATGTAAAGTTGTTAATGTCCTCCAGGGCGTGTCCATCAACAGCGATTTGATTGGCGCATTTTGTGTTGCATCGCAGAATCGTGCTTTTCCTTTTATGTATTTTGAGACCATCTGCTGCTGAGGTTGTTGCTACACTGGTTGTCTTCTCATAAACTTGATGTTGCGTGTGAGATAGAAGAGCCAGGTCACCTGCGAAGTCCAGATCCTCCAGCTGAGTCCTAGCTGCCCACTGAATACCGTGCTTCCCTCCAGACATCGATGTCTTCATAATCCAGTCGATCACCAGGAGAAAGAGAAATGGTGAGAGTAAGTAACCTTGTTTAACACTGGTCTTTACCTCGAACCACTCTGTCAACAGTCCTCCGTGCATGAATTAGCAGTTTAATCCATCATATGAATTCCGTATTATGTTGACTATCTTCCCAGACACGCCATATTGTCGAAGAAGCCTCCATTGTTCTGTCCTGTCCATGCTATCAAATGCTTTTTCGTAGTCGATGAAGTTATGTGGAGTGGTGAGTTCCATTCAACTGACTGTTCCACGATGATCCGTAATGTTACAATTTGGTCAGTTCACGATCGATCCTTATGAAATTCAGCCTGTGAATCTCGAAGTTGGGCGTCGGCGAAGTCCTTCATTCAGAGCTATTACAAAATTAAACTTATATTATTCAGTTGGCCATTTTTACGCAAAGCAAGAAAATTTAATGATAATAATAATAATATATTTATTCTCAAATAACTACGTTACAAGAGTCACGCCAGTTTACAGGCTGGATCAAATCGTCACAAATGCT